ATCCCTGTGACTGTTGGCACTTTTGGACCGACCCCCCGCATCCCTGTGACTGTTGGCACATTCAACTCAACTATAAGGGTTTTCGTCCATTTCCCGTCCAAAACATCTCACACTCTCTACCCCTGCCACGATCTCGCGAGGTTTTTGCCACAAAAAAGTTCGCATGGTCTGCCCCTGCCACGATATCGCGCTCTCCACAAATTCTACGGCTGCCACGACTTCGTGACGTTCGAGCCGCCGGAAGCCCTCGTAGTCTGTCTTTGAATTTCGAACGACGCCAAAAATTCCAAATGCACTTAGATTGCCGCGATTCCAAACACACGTCCAGTGCCGCCGAGGAGCCGAATGGTGTGGCCCTGCCACGATCTTGGAGCGCCCGACTCCAAACCCAAAAAGCGAGCGTGACTGTGGCGAGAGACGAGCAGGTCGAAAGCGCTGTAATTCACAATGAATTCCGCGATTTCGAAACGACGTTCGTCACCAAACGCGACCGGCACTGTGGCGGGAACGCCGTTTTTGTGCAAACTGAGCGCGGCACCACAGCGGGAGCGTCCCTCCCAGCCAAATCCGGGAATGACCACATCCTTGGACGTTGGCAATCGGGCAAAGTGCGGTCCAGCTTGCGAGAGCAGCAAGGCGCAGGACGCAGGGGACAAGTCAGCAAGGTGCGTCTCGAGCGCGCGATCGTCGCAAGCATGGGAGGTTCCGCGCTGCCAACCGCGAAGGAAGTCGGCAGGCTCGACCTGCCGGGAATGGGGGCGGGGCACATTGGACATGAGAGCGGGGCTCCTTCGTCGCTCCACGCGGTGAGCAAGCGTCCGGCAGCCGAGGCATGCGTGCGTGGATGGCCGACAGGGTGTCCATCCAGGAAGCCCAGTAAGCAGCTTGGCGGTCGCTATCGGCTGCGCTTAAGCCGGCCACCAAGGCGCAGTGCAACCCGTGCCGCTCGCGCCGGTTGGAACGGCAGCGGTGCGTTTGCAAGGCCCAAAAGTGCTGAGAGGCATCGGTCGATGGCAGTGCCGCGGCGGCGCGCGTCAGCGTGGACTTGCGAGGTTGTAGCGCGTGCAAGCCATTGCGGCTTGGCCTAGTCGGCCTTGCGCACTTTGTTCGCTATGATTTTTTCGTCGTAGAAGGTATGTGTTCGGGGAGCTGTATAAGAGTGCCGGCTGCCAGTTGGTTCGGGTCGGTCCGCCAAAGCGCATGCCAGGAGATGTGATCGTAGGCGCCGACACCGTCGACGCTCAACTGCGGTCTGCGGCATACGCCTGGGGACATGACGATGCCATCTGGACAACGCTGCACAACCTGCTCGGAGGAACGGGCGACGCAGGTCGGCGCCGCCCATGCACGGCAAGTTGCTGCCCTGCCGGAGACCACGGCGCCTGCGCTGCCTCGCGGAAGCGGCGCATACACGTCGCACCAGAGGGCCCGAGCATCAATCAGTGGATGTGTGTCGCTGTGCTGCGACGCAACACTGGTGTGAGGAAGTCGACGGCGCCACGCTGCAGGTCCAGCGCGCCGTTGCGGGCACAGCCTTGGGCCGCGCGTGGTTGTCAGCAGGATCGCTTCCGGCCACCATAGCCTTAATCCGCCCGCGCCAGAGCCAGCGCCAGCACGACAGCCCAGCACCAGCCCAACGCCAGCGCCGGCCGAAACGTGTTTCTGGCGCTTGGGCGAGGCGTTGGTGGAGCATGCTGTCCGTGGCTGTGCAGCAAGCCGTCGCAAGCACAGCGTTAGGCGGCCCGTGGATGCATCCATTGCAGTCCGAAACCCACCAAGGGCCACCTCTGGACGCCTTGCTCCACCTCGAAGCCCCCGCCGGACAGGGCCGCCTGCCGCTGCGGCCCTGACAGCCTCAGTAGCCGTGTAGTAGTCAGTCCAGGTAACACGGACAGCTGCGACCGCGGCTCGCACTCAGGCAGTTCGAAAAGTCCGTTCAAAAAAAGACCTGCTCGTTTGGCGAAATGCGACCTTCACGTGCCGATCCAGGTCGTTCACACATATCGTAAACTCGCCGCTTTTTCATCACACTTTTAAAACCCACCTCCCCCGTAGGCGTCCCTGATATTTAGATGGCTGCGAGGGGCATGAGCTAAACTAAATTGGGCGGGTGTAGACCAGCTGAACAACGCGGTATCGTGGTGCTTGGCACGCCAATAGGCCACCAAGATTTCGTCCAAGCTTGGGCAGCCGGGCCCGGCCCCTCGAGGAAGAAGAGGGGCTGCTCAGCCAGCTGCCCGAACTGCCGGACTTGCAATGTTCGTGGCTGTTGCTGCTGCTGTGCGCGTCCCCTCGTGAAAACCATGCCTTGCGCACGGTTCCCCCGTTGGAAATCCAGGCGTATGCACGCGCCCATGACAAGGCTTTCTGGCATACCCTCACGCCTGGGGGGCGCCGCGAAGCAGAAGAGCTGCATGCGAAAACGCTCGCGACGCTGCCAGGTGGCCTGGGGATGCAATCGGCGGAGCGCGCCAGCCCGACAGCATAGTCGCCGAACGCTATACCAAGCAGCGCTGGAATCAGGTGGAGGAGACGTCCCCAGCTTGCGCGCCGTCGCCGACTCCCGCGAGCTGCTGCAGGCAGAAGGCTGGGAGGCCTGCCCAAGCTGGCGAGCAATCCTCCAAGGAGCCCGCCCGGTCCCACCAAAGCACGCCGGCCCCGGCGACTGGCCGCATGGATGGCAGTTTATGGCAGTTTTACGCGTCGCGCACCCGCAACCAATACTTTCGCGACATCGTGCTGCTGCCGGCTATGACGCCAAGCGCCCGGGCCTTGGTGCGCTCGCAAGCGGGACCTCATGCAGGGTCGTGGTTGACCGCCATACCAGCAGAGCCGGCCACCACGCTCACGCCGCAAGCCATGCAGCTGGCGCTACGCCGCCGCTTGCGCATGCCGCTCCCCCTCAGCCACGGCAGATGCGGACCGACACACGGCTGTGGCGGGCAAGTCGACCGGTTCGGTGACCACGCTCTCGCTTGCCCGCGCACCGGACTTCTCGCCCGGAGAGCTGAGACGCTCGAACACGCGTGGGTCCGCGTAGCGCGAGAGGCCGTGGGTGCCGAAGGCCAAGTAGTGCCACAGCAATGGCTGGCACACCACGGCGCCCGGTGTGCGCGCGGATGATCGGCGCCGCCTCGATGTGGTCATTTACGGGGCCACGACTAACGGCACAGCGCTGTGCTGCGATGCCACACACACGCACCGGGCAGCCACAGCCCTGTACGGCCGACTTCGACGGCGCCGCCCTCCCGACAGCAGAGCGACGCAAGGCCGCGACCTACCCGGAGCTCCGGGGCGAAAGGGCCGCAGAGACTCGTCGTGCTCGGCAGTGAGGTTGGCGGACGCTTCAACGGCGACGCGCACGGCCTGCTCCGGGATCTCGTTCGGGTGCGCGCGTGCAGAGCGCCGCCGGCACTGCGGGCTGCTGCAGATTCACAGGGTGGACACGACGAAGGTGGAGCATACTTTCCGTCGCCGTGCAGCAAGCGGTCACGAGCACAGCCCTCGGCAGGCCGTGGCCGCTACCGCCGCATGCAGCCCGCGCGACAGGCCCGCCCCTCGACCGCATCCTCGACCTGGCAAAGGCCGGGGGGGCCGAGCCGCCTGCCATTGTGCCCAACGCCGTAGCCGCAGGTGTGTTAGGCCTAGACGTAGGACCCGCCGACCAGGCACGCAGATGCACGAAGTGGGCAGGAAAAAGGTGCGTGGGAAAAAAAAATCGGTTTCGCGGGTGTAGAATCCTTTAATCTCAGTGATCAATAAAAACAGAGGTCACCCTTATGTGCTTCCAGGCCACATCTAGGATTTAAGTGGCTTGGTGTGGAACTGAAAGGGGTGGATGTAGGGGTCCCCTGAGCGCCTGTGTGGACGCGGCAAAAAGTTACACTAAGTTGGGTGGATGTAGGGTTGATGAAAACATCTGGTCTGCTTCGCCTTCCCGCCTGAACCTTCCAGAAGCGCAAAGCTGACACTGTCGCAGCACGAGTATTGTTTCCAGGAGGTGCTGAAACAGATCCTGGAAGAGGTTTTTCTTGGTCAGCGCGTTTGAACCAGGTGTAGACTTGAAACGGCTCGATGTCGATCTTTTTGGCCGACATAGACCCCTTAGCAAGTCCGTATTAGTTTCGTTGGACTTGGATTGGACTGGATTTGAATCTCTCCAAACACCCGCTGATTGCGAGCGTTTACGAAGCGTGCTCGTGTATAAACGCTGTAGCTTGGATAGCTTGAGTATGCTTGAGTGTTGTACATGTACCACGAAGACGTCATGAAAGACATGACCACATGCATGTGACCGTTGTAGCCTTTCAGGTCCTAGCCAACGGAAAACGTGAGTATAGTGAGCCCAATACGTCCAACGTTTGCCCCGCGCGCATGGTTACGCGGAGCTGTTAGTGTCCAGAACGACCGACAGTCAGTGGCACCTCGGCAAATCCCGGCCGTGGCCGCCACCAACTCCACCGCCAGCAAGGCGACATCGGGATACCTCAGCACATCCAAGACCAGCATTGTTGCAAAGTCCAACTGTGACTGCCACTACCCCAAGCCTTTCGAAAGGCATCAACCCCCAAGGCAAAGGATCCAAAGGCAAGGTCACAAGTAAGCCCGGTAAGGGCCATCCGTGTGTCAAGAAGCGTGCTCGCGAGCGCGATCCCAACACCGGCAAGTGCATCCGATCGCAGAAGCGGTCCCACAAAGCCCAGCAAAAGCGTGACTTGCGGAAACGTCTGCGCCAGGTCAAGCAGCAGATTCGGTCAGATTCAGCCGTCGTTGCAAATCGCAGCGAGCACCCTCGGACGAATCGTCCTCAAGCGTTTGAAGGAAAGGCTCTGGTTTCAAAGCCATTGAGCAGCATTACCACAAACAGAGTGTCTCCGGCGAACGTGCTGTCGAGATACACCCTGAGAGGTTTGAGCCTTTGCAGTTTCGGTTACGGTAGGGGTTATGTCATAATAGGCTCATCTCCCCGTGTTGTTTGCCTTGCCCAACCAAGCGGCACAATGGCGAGCACTGAACAAATTCAATCACTAGCTGCACTAGCTAGTCAAGTGCAACAGCTGACAGCACAGCTCACGTCACAGCAGCAGGAGCTGAACAACACGCGAACTGCACTAGAACAGCAGGCCCAGGCGACCAACGCCGCTCTAACAGTGGCGCGGTCGGCTGTGTCCCAGTTGACAGCCACGTCGCAGTCAACGACGTCTGCGGAACCCAAACGCAGACCACTGAATCCCAAGTTGGTCAATGCACCAGAATCGTTCACCGGCAGTGATTCTGATTGGGAGCGATTCAAATTCGGTTTCACATCGTGGATCGGCACTGTTGATCCTGAGTACCCCGACCTTCTCAAGTTTGCCGCTGCGCAAACAGACGAGATCAATCCGGCAGAGATGATTCCAGTTGCGAAAGTGTTGTGCGCAGACCTGTTTGCCATTTTGGTAGGTTTGTACCAATCCCAGCCATCGCGATGCTTGTACCAGATAGGAATGGGTTTGAACTATGGCGCCGCATGCATGCCCGTTTCGAGCCGGAAAACAAGCATAAACCTTATGCGTGGCTCCGGGCACTTTCCAACCCCGTTTTCCCGAACAAAGAATCACAGTGGCAACGAGGCCTTGAAGAATGGGAAGGTGAAATTGCAAAATACGAACGTGAGTACAAGAAAACATTTGATGCAGATCTGAAGCTCGCGATCCTGTCCGAAGTCGCCCCCAAGACTCTTGCCTCTCAGATTGCGATGCATTCCGCTCACCCTACCACTTATAAGACGCTCCGTGAGTTCATTGTGCAATACCTGAAAACAAAAATCCAAGAACCTTTGGAAGCGTGGTGCCGGTACTGCCTTTGGCACACAGTCTGCGTCACCCGCAGCTCCATATTCTGGGCCAGCACCCATGAAGATTGGAGCGCTAGAAGCGGACAACAAGTCAAAACAAAAAGGTGATAAAAAGGTGGTATAAGGGTGACAACAAGTGCAAGCCTGGCAAAGGTTCTGAGGGTGCAAACAGCAAAGGTGACGGTAAAGGTAAGGATAAGGGCAAGGCCGATGCCGGCAATGCCAACGCCACAAAAGGACCTCCGTGTGCAATTTGTGGTCCCGAGAAAGGGAAAAACCACACCACTGAAGCGTGTTACTTCAATGCCCGCAGCTTTCCGAAAGGAGACGGCAAGGGCAAACGCACGTCGACATCAAGTTCGACGAACGTGAATGCGGTCGAAGGGTTAGTTCCTGACAACGACGAGCTAGCTGACCAGCACGATTGCACCTTTGCAGCAGCAATTTGTGGCACTTCGGCTCACCGGCGCACCTCAGTGAGTGCTTCGTCCACGTCGTCTGCCAACGTCGGCCGCAGAGGCCAATCGACCCAAGGCGCCATTTCACAAGAAGAACAGCCGATGCTGTTTGCAGTCGCTGAGGCTGAGGTTGCCGAAGCCATTTGTTCCACAACGCATGGTGACGGAGGACAGAAGTACATTTTGGTTGACGCAGGCGCCACCACCAGTTGTGCTAGTGCAAAGCATTTTTCCAATGCCGCACTCGACGCATCAAAACGCAAGCAGCTGTGGGCCATCAACGGAACGCCAATACAACAGCAGGGCGAGCTTGCAGCTCACACCACCCTGTCAGCAACAAAAGGCGACGGAGTGGACGTCAAAATTCCTGCAAGGTTTCGTTTGGACTCCACAGACATCACCGAACCGGTGATGGCTTTCTGCCGCACTTTGGATGACGCCGATTGCGACATGCACTTCTACCGTTCACATTTTGGCTCAAGTAGCCATTTTGGCTCAAGCCATTTTCGCTCAAGGCAAACAGCTCAAGCTTTTCGTGGAAACCTTTTCTTCTTGAGCCTCTGGGCCTGCTAATCGTAACTGCTCCGAGGCCCGCAACCTTCGGACGTGTTTCCTTCGACTCGTGCCATGGACCGCTCTGGGGCACAGGGAAACCCAGGATAAACAAACCCTGCCGGCTACAGATTGCGGGAAAACTCGCTGCCTGGCCCCCTGCGGCGCTTCGGCTCTGACGTGACATACAGGCCTAAAGCCACAGGGGGCGAGCCGTAATGGGATGCTGGGCACCTGCTAGATGTGCAATTTACATTTCTGCTGGGGTCTTTTCGAAAAGGTTCATTCCATCACCTCTCACCAAAGTGATTGGTGACTGGAAACCATGCTTGCGTTTGCTGCGCGTTGAGACAACTCGCAAGGCGGTACCTTTCAGGTATCCAGGTTTCCTCCTGGATTGAGGTGATGGCTGACCATGGTAGCGTCTTGTGCCACAGGTAGTGGCACATCTTGCACTGAGGTTCGTGAAAAGGCACGTCCCACCAAGCTGTTTCTGGCGGGCGTCGAGAAGTCCGTATGCAGGCCTGAACCCGGCCAGGAAAGGCAGTCATCGCATTTCTTACTGTGCAGCCTACCAACTGCCAGCAGCTCCTAGAGATTGGCAGCAGTCCATGAGGTTTTGGGATTTGGCGACTTGTTGTGCGGCCGCAAAAATAAAAGACACGCAAGGTTTCATGCTGTTCAAACTTCAAAGCGGTTTGTTTGCAGGCTTTGATTCTCATGGTTTTCCTCCCTGCCATTCCCTGCCCAAGCAGTCTTGATGCTATCTCTCAGAGCATAGGCAAGGCGACCATCCGTGACTCGTTTTTCTCGATGGCACACTTGGGCACTCTGTGCATGCCCGAGTTTCGGTGGTAATGTAGGTGGGATGCAAACATGCCACTCCCAGCAGCCATTGTTTATTTGCACGTTCGATGACCACTTGGTTCAAGCCTTGCCGACTGCTTGGGGCCAGCCACTTGCATGTTGACGGGGGGGCCTTCGATCTGCGCAATGCAGCGGGGGTCTTGGAGTGCATCGGTTGCCAGTAGTTGGTTCGAATCGTCGAATCGAACACACCAGCTGTCTGCACGCGTATGCACCAGCAGACTTTTTGATGTATGTGACCCATATGACTGAGAGCGTGCTGTGATGTCAGGCGCAGATTTCGCAGGTGACAATGCCTCGTGATTCGGAGGATTCTTCGGATGAGGTGCGCTCGCCCGGTGCTGCATCGTACTGGCATGTTTAGTAATCAGACCGGGATGCGTTCTAGTGTGACAGGGGCCATTGATGTGTGTGCGTGTGAGTGTGGCCAAACTCTGAACCATGGGCTTTGGGACGGGCGGAGAATGCCGATGGACGAATTGTGGGAGAAATTCAATGCAGCTAGCGCGTAATGGCCAGGTGTAGAGCAACATGAAAACGATGATGTCACTTGTATGATCTTGCATGCACTAGCTTCATACAACCTGTTTCGGTTTAGGCTGTAAAGCATGTACTGCTTTCTTGTTAAGGAATTTAACTTACGTTAGCATAATTTAGGGTTCCCTCAGGGGTTCTATCAAGGGTTCGAAAAGCGTTTAGAAAGTCTTTAGACGTAAGAAACTTAATTTCAATTTTCAGGTTATAATCTATCGTATATGATCCGGCCCCACAACAAACGAAGGAACCAGTTCTAGCATGTTATCTTGTGTTCGTTGTGGACCGTTTTCCTCTTCGGGAGCAGAGAATGTCTCTGGTCTGCAGCAGGGCCTGCTCATTTGCTTCTGTGACGACTTGTTGGCCGCTTGGCCTTGCTCTAGAGGTTGGTAGCTGTGATGCGTGTGAAGGAGAAGCCGCCCACAGCAGAGGAAGTGGAAGAGCGCGGCCCTCGGCAAGCCTGCCTGAAAGATCCTGACAATCTTTGCGGGGTGTTGATGCCAAGGTTTCTCAGGCACAACAAAGTGGATGCTGCTGCCTTATGCTACACCTTCTCCAAGCGATTGAAATGCTGGCATCCGTGCCTGACTAGGACCGTGCTGCGCAAGATTTGCGAGAATGTCCCCCGGAGGCCAGTTGAAAATCTTGCAATGCAGAGTTGCAATAGGCTTTCGTCACAACTTGAAGAGGTGCAGAAGCGCGTCCTCACCAGGGGCGACCTTAACTCTGTCATGTCCTCATGCTGCACGGAGAAAGGCGCAAGCGAGATCGATGCGTGCCTGAAAGGCTCGGAACCCGTCAGCAGCTGTGCTGGTGCTAGCCTTACGTTTCGCGATGTGCTACAGCTGCTGCAACTTGAAGTAGTTATAAGTTTTCACTGCAAAGCCGCTGAGGTCCGCATCCGCGATGCGCGAGTGGAAGACAAGCCGCAGCGTGGCCGAACGGTGTCATGTTCTCAGATTCGCAAGCATTGATGGCTGCACTTTTACTCGTTTTTATCATGCTCGAGGTCGCGGCCCATGGGCTTGCCAAGCAGTGTCGGACTTTGTGACTGTCAGTCGTGCCTCTGCAACCTTCGATGCCCAAGCAATTGCTCAGGCTCAGAGGTAAATGGCTACATCAAGACAAACGGTGTAAACGAAGTAGCCGCTGGGCACTTGGTAGCCAATATCCCATGTTCCCTGCTTGAGCATCCTTGGTTGGCGGCACTCGGCTGGACAAAGGCACAAGCGCTGCGGAGCTGTTCGCCCACCGTGAAGCGGACTGTCCTGAGCAGCGGCGATGTGATAGGCATCGTGGCATGTATGACATGAAACCTGATGAGATGCAGCGGGGAGGGTCCCTAAGTTTTCCGGTCGAGTTCTGGCTCCGTTGACATTTACCGTTTCGCGAAGCGGGCTTTCCTTTGCCAGCTTACTTGCTGCGAAGTCAGTTTTCACAAGCGCATTCAGATCACAGGTGCTTTCGATCCTTCAGCTGCCCTCCTTGCACAGACCTCAAGATTTGCGGCCATGGCATGTGATGGAAAGGCGTGCCTCCGATTGACTATATCTCTGCCCGAGCTAAGCTCATAGACCGAAAAGCTCAGTACGCAGCTTTTGTTAATGAAGCTTGGCTTAGTACGACACGCGAGATTAGACAGTAATTGCGCGGCTCAGGCAAAAATAAAGGATGTCAGGGCCGGTGGAACTGGAAACATCAGCACCTCCGGCACGTTTCATCAGATCTCGCACTTTTCTGCATTGGCAATGCATTGGCTCCCCTTGGGCAGACCTTGCCTCTATGGGGATGGTGCCATCCATGCCCAGTGAGCGGTTCTCGGTGACCTTCACCCGGCCCCAGCAGACGGAAGATTCAGCTTGATGTGTCGTGGTTTCCATGAAGACAACCGTGATGTTCACGAGGCGACTGACATCGATGCTTTTGTTGAATACAACGATCTAGATGAAAGCGGGCCTGTCCTGATTGTCCGGTTGTGAGCATCTGCCAAAGCGGAAGATCGCCGGTGCGTAGGCGCAGAAGCACAACTCCGGGCACGTACCTCAAGAATTTGTTTGCCATTCGCCGTTTCCTTGACTTCTACAGCAAGGCCTGTCCGCCCTACGTCATTGCCCTGGTGCTTGGCAAGGGGGATCGATCCTCAGTGCGGTTTGCCTGGGCTGTCACAAGGCATGAGTCCCGGTTGCCACCTGCATGCTGCAGGCATGGCGCTAAATGAGTTTGGGCCTTGCTCCCAGGACCTTCGGGGCACTCGAAATCCCTCCTCTGTGGTGCTCTCCCGGATCCGTGAGGCGAAGGTTGGGCACATCGTAAAATAAAAGCGTCGGTGGCGAACGCGGCGGTTTGAGCATGATTCAGGCAATGGGAAAGGCAACAGGTCAGATTCCAATCCTAGCGCTACTGCAGCTCTTGAATTCATGACCGACAATGCAATGCTACACGGGCTGTTGGACCCTGCGGATTGCTAGACAACACACTGAGTTTCACATTTCTGGTTCAGGTTCTCTGGCCACATGCAATTAGGCATGCCTCAGAGGGATTTGGCAGTATTCCTACGCATTCCTCATGAACCTGCTTGGAAGAGGGCGTTGCGTTTCAGACGAAGGAGCGGTCGACTCTTTGACGGCGCATGTCTTGCTGGTTTTGCTAGGACGTGTAGCGCCCTGGCCTGCTGGGTGCAGACATCAGGGTGTCAGGGGGGGTTTGCAAATACGAGGCAGCGGTCACACAACATGGAACTTGAAGTTCCATGGTTGTTTTTTTTTTGAATGCCTCGGCACCAGCAATCGAGCTAGACACGTGGGCATGTGGAGCCACGACAGTGCGTAACCATAGCAGGGCCGGCTCCGTTTGAGAGATACGCTGCGGTGAGATGGGGGTGAAACCCAAAGAGCTCCTACACTCGCACCCTCGCCATCTAGAATGTCGCAGTCTTGGGCACGGAATACCTTATATTCTTGCCAGGTATTGACAGATATTACAGATAGCCACTGTAATAGCCACATCAGACAGCATGGTGCAACAGCTTCAAGGAGAGCGACATCACTACAAGGAGCAGTTGGGCAGCCGTCCATTACCCCAGCCAGCATTACGAACTTAAGGGCCGGCAAGTATCACAAAGAATGGATTGGGCGGCACACCATAGAGACCGAAGAACTAGGTAACTAGGTGACAGCGTGCAGTCGTGTGACAGGTTCTGCGCTGCAGCAAGTAGAAGTGCAATCATTCTGGAAGGTTAGGGAGGGGAGTGGCAGCAGTAGCAAGATACAGAGGATGTTTCAGCATGTGAATACTTTCTGTTTGTGTTCTGGGCAGCTTCCGGGTATTATTGGAGGCGATGCACAAGGAGTGTAAAGAGCTGGGGGCCATCAGTTGCAAGACGGTTCCCCCTGCAGGCAGCTCCGCCACCGCTGGCAGCTGAGATGAGCAAGCACGTGGCTGTGCGACACCTGTGGTCCTTTCATAACCTTTGTCCGTCAGGCCTATGCCGGTCCACATGCCTCCTCCTGGAGCAGTGGGCTCAAAGGCGGTGACAGTCAGGAGTCAGAGGTTGTCATGGCACGGCACGAAAACAAGCCGAGGTGCCATTTCCAGGGCATGTGCCGCCCTTCGGCTACCCGTGCGAGCCCTCGAGCTTTTGTTTATGGGGACTTATTTGTCAGAAAGTAATGGATTAGATTACTGGAACAAACCGAATCAGAGACACGAACAGTTGGAATGTACAACATTCTGCGTGTTCTGCACCATGGTTGTTTGTTTCGTAGAGGCGCCAGGCTTCTCAGAAATCAAAGCTCGGCCAGTGAGAACCAATCCTGGGCTCGCGCAGCAAGTTGCCACGTTCTAAAGCCATCAGAAGCCCAGCGCCGCATCAGTGGAGCTGCAGTGACTGCAGGCCGCACGGGCCGCCGGGGCATCCCTTCGCGTTCCCGTCAGGGTCAAAGCTCCAAGGGGCGGCAGTGGCGCCTGAATTTGAGGATCGTCTTGTTTTGGACTTGTCGCTGAGAGGCCGCATGGAGCACCGCCTTTTGGCCCGCATGGAACCGAGACTGCAATCTGTTCCGGATGCATCGATGTGGAACACGTGCCGGCCCTTGCCTGGAAAGAGGCATGGCTACCCGCCACCTCACATGGTGCCTCCAGGCGCTCCAGAGAGCGGAGTTTCAGGTAACTGGTCGCACGTTTCCAGACGGTGTGGCAACCGGCAACCTGCAGCCAGAGCAACTGTGGGCTACTGCATGTGAAGCCGTGAAGCTGATGTGTCGCAGGATATCCACATGGACCGCCTGGTTACTATGGGCCTCCGGGCTATCCAGGCAGGCCGTCATGCTGACTGCACCGTGGTTGATACTCATAACTCGTACGTGTCGAAGAGAATTGAAGCCCCCAGGTCGCACTTCTTTTTGATGCCTTATTTTGTCCTTGTCACAACACTTCTGAAGCTCGAGAGAACACTGTTTCCCTGCTCTCGAGCGCGCCATGGCGGCTACGGCCTTTGCCTTCGTTGTGCCGGCGCCGCAGCCGTGTACAGCCGGCAGCGCACCGAGCAGTGAGCTTAGGCTCAGGAGGCTCTGGAAAGGGAGCGGGACAGTGGATACTGGGTGTCAGCAAAAACAAGAGAAGAAGTTCATTCTGTTTTGGCACTTCGTTCTTGCCCACAGGTGCGCCGAGGCTGGCGGAAGGACCCGCTCGGAGCATGGGTGCTGTGTCTGCAGGCACAGGCGGTGATTTCGTTTCCCTGGACACTTTGGTCGCTGGATGGGTCGAGCGTGATGGCTTGGCTTCGCTAGCCCGTTGTTTTGTAAGCGCGAGAATGGTGCAGCAGACTGTTCCCGAGTAAGACCCTTCAGAGTGATGACGCGCAGAAAACCATTCTCTGACTTCCAGGATCGGGGTCCCAGCACTGGCTGCCTTGGGCGCTGCTGCGGGGGTGTTTCAGCACTGAATGCAGCCAGTAGTAGCCGCTTAGTAGCCGCTCGCCGGATGGCTGCAGGCCCGGGCCCGGGCCCTCGCGCGGCGTCAGCGGACACAACGGCAAGCGAAGAGGAGTCTCGCTTGCACCTGGGACGGCCTTGTGGAGGTGCTTGAAGCTTCTGGTTGAACTGACACAAGCGAAAAAACCGTCTGCTTTCAGCGGCGGCCAGCAAAGGAAATCGCAGAAGAAGGGAGGGAGAACGTCCGGCATTCCAATACCCAAGTCAGACAGCGCTGCTCCGGATGCTTACGACCAGGAGACACGTGACATTATCCTCTCCATGAGCAACGTGGACAAGAAGTCCCTAGATGGGAGCTACATCTTGAAAGATGTCTCGCTGGGCATGTACATGGGCGCCAAGATCGGCATTCTGGGCAAGAACGGGGCAGGAAAGAGCACGGTGATGCGAATCTTGGCCGGTGAGGACGACGAATTCCTTGGCAAGCTTGAGCGTGATGAGGCTATACAGGTAGGCTACTTGGCTCAGGAACCTGTTCTCAAAAAAGAGACAGTGATTGCAAACTTGGAACCGGCGGTAGACCACATAAAGGCCATGGTCAAGGAGTTCGAGGATGTGAGCATGCAGATGACGGATCCCGATGCTGACGTCGATGCCCTCATGCAAAAGATGGAAACCATCCAGTCCAAAATCGATGCCTGCAACGGTTGGGAAATAGATCAGAAGCTTGATGAGGCACGAGTGCACCTTCCCCTTGGAACCTACTTCTGATTATTGATGACTTCTTTCTTTCTCTGTTTAGGCCATGGCTGCGCTGAACTGCCCCCCGCGAGATGCGAAGATCGCAACGCTGAGTGGAGGAGAGCTTCGCCGCGTGGCGATTTGCCGCCTGCTTCTGTCTGTGGCTGAGAGGCTATCCAGCTTGAGTGCACCGCGAAATTGCAATGCCGAAAGGTCGAATCCCGACATCCTCATGCTCGACGAGCCCACGAACCATTTAGATGCGCAAAGCGTCGCTTGGCTGGAGCGCTTCCTGGCAGAGTTCCAGGCAGCTGCGAAGACCCGGTCTCGTGAGTGATTGGTCGAGAGACGAAGCAGCCAGCGGGATCAGCATGTCAATCAATTCGACATTTTCCGCTGGCTGAACTTGTGACGACTTTTTGCGGAGTGCCTGCTGCTTCTGCCGATGGCATACAACGAACACATTTGTTGGGTGTAGCCTCCCGAAAAGATTGCAAAAGGGACAGGGCATTTGTGACTTCCGGGAAAGAGACTCGGGCCCGCAGCCCGGTCGCCCCGACATGGCGGTGATTTGCGCGCCGACGTGGCGGTGATTTGCGCGCGGGACGAAGATGAAGGCATCAACTTAACTAAACGTCCTGGGTCTGTTGGTGTCATTTTCGGAATCTGGGTGTGATTGGCCGTGAGCATATCTTCTTCGCAACGGTGCGACGGCTGTCGGCTGACCACTCGGGCGCACAGGAATACCCGTGTTACGGCCTGTTGGGGCATGCTGACTTTCAGTTGGCGTGCGGCATGCCCTAGTCCTCCTTGTGCTTATGCCCAGTGACTTCGCCGCAGAGTGGCCGAGCCTCGTGGTCTTTTGTATCGTGCCTCGCCGTCGACTGTGCGTCGCCAATTGTAATCGATGCATGCAAGTTTCCCACACAGCTTTATATATAAATCATTCTGCTTAGGTAGCTATACATTTTCACATGCCTGAATTCTTGTATACAGACGACTGACAGCTGTGAACATATGTTTGTGCATTGGTACATGTACCATCATGTACCAGTCTATGAATGAATGAATGAATGAATTAATGGAGGAAGGGAAGGAAGGAAGGAGGGAAGGAAGGGAGGAGGGAAGGGAAGGGAAGGGAAGGGAAGGGAAGGGAAGGGAAGGGAAGGGAAGGGCAGGGAAGGGAAGGGAATGGGAATGGGAATGGGAATGGGAATGGGAATGGGAATGGGAATGGGAATGGGAATGGGAATGGGAATGGGAATGAGACTGGGACTGGGACTGGGACTGGGACTGGGACTGGGAATGGGAATGGGAATGGGATGGATGGATGAATGAATGAATGAATGACCGACTGGCTCACTGAGTGAGTGAATGAATGAATGATCGAATGAGCAAACAGGTAGATAGAGATATACTGCAGACAGATTGAGATATATATGATCTGTACGAACAACTTTGTGGTTGCGATATGAACACCCACCTACCTGCCGACCTACCTAACTACCGACCGATCGACCTACCTACTCACCTACTGACGCAATCCTACTGACATACCCACCCCCTAACCCCAACCCCAGCCAGCCATCGATCTATTTATCTATCTGCCTACCTAAAGGGGCTGCGCCCAGGGCGAGATGCCGTAGACGCGGCGGGACGCCGGGAAAGGTCATCTCGGACGGGCGCTTTCCCTGCACGGCTAGGGATCCGATGATGAAGGGTCGGCGGCAAAACCGTTCGGCCTATAGCAAGCTAGAGCTACAGCCAGGCACACCGAGGGGCGTTGTCCGATTCTAGGGGCTGCGCCCATGGGCGGGCAGGTAGCAGCCCGGAGCAAACCACAATAGACTATGCTACTATGCTATAGTATGGACTATGATGGCAAACTCGCCTATCCCTACAATATACCATATAATGATATACTGCACTACTTGGGCCTGAAACCATACATTGATATAATCTACGACTACTTGACCCTCACCGCAAACCAGGTTAAAAATGCCTTCTCTCGAAAGGGGCGGGGCGGGGCACGGGCGCGTGCACGCCCCCCCGGCCCCCCTTCCCGGCCCCCTTGCCGTCCCCTATGGTCGTCCTCCTTCAGCGTCCGCTGATGGTGCTTCACAACACGCACAACAACCTGCATCATGCTCGCCAACTGCGGTTGCGGGTGTGCCGAAACCCGCCATTCCGTGGGGAATGGCCAGAAAACGTTTTCAGTGTTTGCCTCCGCGCGAGGCGCACGGTCCAGTGAACAAACGGAGATCCGATGATGAGGGGAGTCTCCGCCCCATTTGCAAAAGAAAGGCTTGCAAGCAATGCGCCACCGAGGCGGGCTACGCAACAGGCCGATCGCCCGGCCCCGTGCCCCATTTAAGAGCGCCACCGACCCCGCAACGTGGCAAGGAAGCCCGTTTCCTGCATGTGCAGCTGTAAGGTGGGGTACACTGGCATCTTGTTAACAGAAACCAGCACAGTTGCTCAGTGCTTCATCGACGGCCGAAGGGGGGAAGCAGGATCCAGCTACTCTTTTTGGGGGTTGGAGGGAACAGGGAGGTTTGCACCTGAGAACCCATGCAACGTATGTAGGTGTAAGATATGCATTTACACGTCACTGGCCTGGGTTCTGTCTGGTCGGTGCATGGACCACGCAGGACACGTCTCATAGGGCTTTGTCGCATTCCCACCGCTGCACGTGCTTTGGCAGGGAACCGTCGTGGCCATCACGCACGACCGGTATTTCCTGGACAACGTTGCTGGTTGGCCGCTGGGATCCGATATCAATCAGCGGCACAATGCCAAAATTTGAGAGCAGAATGGAGCGGAGACCTGCCAATCAGAACGGTGGTCTGAGCCGAGGATTCTCGAGTTGGATCAGGGAAAGGGAATTCCTTTCCAGGGAAACTATTCTGGATGGCTGGAGCACAAGGCAGCTGCCAGCGAAGTCGTTTGATAAACAGCCATTTGGACTTTTACACGTGCCCCTTGCAGAATCGGGAAGGGGTAAGATTGAAGCAGCTTCCCGATGCCAGGCGAAACGGCTGGAATCCGAGCAGAAGCGGAAGGCCACACTGGAAAGCCAGATGGCCAAGGCTCCCTTCGGATTGACGATGCTAGCCCTCCATTGCCATCGCAAGTTGCTCATTCTCGCGGTCTTGAGGAGCTAGAGTTCATCAATGCGAGACGAAGCGGAAGGCAGGAAAACAGCTGGTTTGTCGGTCATGCATTGCTGATGTCGTATCTTGGAATACTTGCTTGTGTGTGGAATGGTCGTGAGCAAGACTCATACTCATGTTTGATATTTGCATTTGGCAGGCAGAAAAAGGGAAAGGCTCGCCAGCGAATCTTGATCATATGTGCGCAATGTCGCGCGTGCTCTCCAGCCTGCCGGGGACGTTCATTGAACCCTGTCGCTTCGCCCAGGAAGATTCGAAGATCTGGAGCAGCAGGCAACAACCCATTGTGAGCTCAAGTTATGGGTTAGGGTTTGGTTTTGAGTGATTGCGTTTTGGGTGTATGGTTCAGTTGCATGTGGATGCCAGTGGTTGATTGTGCTCGCAGACACTGGCATCAGTATAGTTATAGGCTTTCTGATCACCACGTCCTGTAGCCACAGATACAAACTTGTCGCGCCAGCTCAGGCGACCGCCTTCAACCGGAGCAGTGAGCTCGACTCGATCGTCATCACTCCCGGACCTCGCTTGGACGCCCGACGGCAAAAGTGTAGACCAGTTGAGCATTTGTCAGTACATGGCTTTCTGACATTTGTGGGTCCTGTGCTGAGAAGGCCAACGAGCCGGTGATCACCGCCAAGAACCTTTCAAAGGACCGGATGCTGTCATAATTTCTTGCTGGAGCTTAGAGTCCTGGCAGGGCTACGGCGACCGGCTCCTCATCAACGAAGCCAGCTTCGAGCACCTCGGCGGTGGCACGTCGTGCGCTCTCGGGTCACCGCGCACCTGCAACTCAGGATACCCCCAGGTGCCGTGGTTGGTATCATCGGTCCCAATGGTGCCGGCAAGACCACGCTCTTCAAGATGATCATGGGCAAGGCGGGAACAAGATGGGCTGGGCAATGCTTCCTTTGACTTCTCCGTGACCAAACTGGTCTCCTGTTGTCCTGCTCTCTGTTTTCTCGAGGAGCAGCCTGACGGTGGTGAGCTGCTGATCGGAAAGACTGTGGCACCCATGTACGTTGAACAAATGCGCGATGATCTGGATGGTGATGCGACCGTCTTCGAGGAGCTCACGGATGGCTTGGATGCCATCGATATTGGCGGCCGAGAGGTGAACAGCCGGGCGTACTGCTCCTGGTTCAATTTCAGGGGGAAGATCCAGCAGCGCACGGTCTCATCCCTCAGTGGTGGGGAGCGAAATCGTCTGCAGCTCGCTCGGACACTGCGACTAGGTGGCAACTGCTTAATGCTGGATGAGCCGTCGAACGATCTGGACGTGGAAACCTTGAGGGCGCTAGAGACGGCCATCGAGAATTTCGCAGGCACAGTCCTCTGCGTAAGCCACGATCGCTGGTTCCTGGATCGCATTGCCACTCACATCATCGCCTATGAAGGTGACTCTCAAGTTGCTGGGCTTTTAGCTTAAGAAGCGCTCTCTAGTTACTACAGCTCGTGCTGCAAGAAACTTCCTTCAGGTTGTATTCTTTGAGGGCGGCTACAGCGACTATGAGGAAGATCGCTTCCAGAGAACAGGAGTGAGAGACCCAACAAAGATTAAGTACAAGCCCATGCCGACCTTCGCCTGACACACAACAGCCACAGTTCGGGGCGTTGGAGGGCCCGACGGCTGAAGTCCGGCTGAAGTCCTTACCACGTGCTGAAAGTTGCTCAGGGCACGAAAAGCGTTGCCCCAATTTTCCATTGGGCGGTGAGCAGCTGGGCCCTTTGCAGCCGCTGCCCCGCTAATCCAATGCCTGGCTTCATCGACCGCAACGCTTTCAAACACTCTCCTCTGCCCGGCTAGACAGGACGCAGCAGAAGGTGTGGTGATAGGCCGCAGACTTGACGAGCATCCCTGTGACTCTTTTCCACACTGGCAAGAATTGATTTACCCAGCGCCTTCGCCAGATCTGGCAGGTCCCTATGCGCCGCCAGCTGCTGGAGGCTTGCTGGAGCCATGCCTTCGAGCTACCTGCCAGTTACTGCTAGTTCATGTACAACCTGGCTATCAGAATCCCACTTAGGAACTCATGAGCTGCTTGATTGGATCACTCGGAATGATCAAGATTTTCGCGAAGAAACAGTTAGTGCAGACTGTGCTAGCTGCAAGAAGACCAGGTCCTTATGGCCGGGATGCTCGGCATGGGAGGCCTCTCTATATCCGAGCTCCTCCCACCTTTCCTCCAAGGTGCACCAGCTCCAGCCAACGGCCGGTGAGCAGCCAAGACTCAAGAGAAGAGTCACAGGTCATGTGCTTCTTGCCTGTCTTTGCTTTTCGGGACTGAGGCCTTCAAGCCGAAGCTATAGCTACAGCTACAGCCGCAGCACAGACCTTAGGGAGCCTTTCCAGGGATGAGACGTCGTCTCGAGATGCACTCCGCAAGAAGACGAAGACGCATTCCAGTAAGCTGGCTCGTGTGTTCCGACCGTGCTTTCAGGGCACTGAGAAGAAGCAAGCCAGGATGCTACGTAGCATCGACTCTCATTGTCCCGTAGATTGCAATGCCATATGTTGAGACCACTCCACAAAATCAACTTGAATCAATCTGTACCCGGAGTAGCGGACGGCTGCAGCGCATCAATCGGCTGAGGTCGAAGTGACAGCCGCAGACACAGCATGCCCCCCAGAACTCAGAAGATTGTTGTTTCAAGCTTGTTGTTTCTAGACTTTCTCCTGGATGGTTGTACATCACTGTTCAGCTATGGGATGATCTTCGCTCAATTCGGCAGTCTTCTGAAGCTCTTGCGTGATACTCTTACTTAGACGTCGATGTCGGATGGCAGAAACAGGAGGGCACAGTTTCAGCAGAGCAGGTCGCAGCAGCCGCAGTCGGAGCCGAAAGCGGAAGGCCCTGCAGGGACGTGGTCATGCAAAGTATCGCTGCTTCCCCCATAGTCACAGTCATCGTGAGGAGATAGACAAAAAAGAGAAGAAGGACAAGAAGGAGAAGGAGAAGAAGGATAAGGAGAAGGCGAAAGAGAAAGAGAAAGAAAGGGATAAAGACAAGGACAAAGAGAAGGACAAAAAGGGGAAGAAGGACAAGAAAGACAAGGTGCTGACGGCAGCTCGCTTTTGTGATCAGTTTGGAATGTATTTCTCTGTCCATCTCGTCGAAGTAGGCGAAGGACAAGGAGAAAGACGTGGAGAAAGCTAAGGAAAAGGACAAAGACAAGAAGGTTGGGGGCTTATTTCCTCCCTCGACAGATCGACTAGATTGGAAAGCAATTTTCCTTTGCACATCGGCACAGACGATCCCAGTGTGTTCTCCCGATACGCTGAGGCCAAGAAGGAGAAGAAGCGATAGCTTCGAGGCTGGGAGAAAATCATCCGATCACTGCGTGGCTTATTTGCGGCAGCTTGAAGACTTGCAGCAGGATGGCCTGCAGATGAGCTGCTTCTCACGTCGAAGTATTCTTAACCATAAGCTTGTAGACAAAGTTCCCGGACAAGGCATAGTCTTGTTTCTCAATGACTGCGCCAGTGCCAAACTCAATAGGCTTCAAACCGTTTCTATTGCATTTTCGCACCACCTAGCGCTGCAAATGGGTGCCTCATGTGGTGTCTGCCCATCTTACCGTAGTTGCTTCCCCAGGATCAAAACGGACAGAGCCCTTGAACCCAAAGCAGACACCACGTAGGCCTGGATGTGGCTTCGGGAGCTCCGGAAAGCCAGAAAAAATCGCTTTGCAAGTTGATCCGTTCCTTTTGTGGCGTGGCAGCTGTCATGCGTTGGAAGATCTGTGTTGGAAGACTTCTTATGCTCCGAACGTGCTTGCAACTGGGTTCATGGATACAATGTAGCCACTTCAAGGAGGGAGATAGCAGGGAAAAAACTGGAGAGTCCTCACAGCCAATCTTCGTGGTAACAGTTTGCAGCAGATCTAAGCTTTCACGATCCCACGCACACGCGCAGATGGTCTGACCAGATTTTCACAGGCAGCTGGCCCCACAGGATTTGCTTGTTGTCAACATGGCATGTCAGCACTCAGACACATGTTCTGTGTGGAAAGCAAAATGTTTGTTGTTAGTTTCTGTTCCTGCCTCATATACCAAGGCGGGCAAGCCTAGAATGCTCGCGCAGATGTTCTCGCAGGTTATCGTCCTAGCTGTCTCCACCAGTCTAGGGTATGTGCAAGCCAATCGGATGTTTCTCGTTGTGCAAGCACAATGCATCCAGCTGGAAGTCCCGCAGTCCAAGGCGAAACTGGATGCGATGGAGCGGACTCCAGGCATTGGCGCAAGCATGCGCAAGCAGAGAAAAGTAATAAGGGATTGTCGCTTCAGTGGTTGGCTTCCATCTTGCTGTAGCCCGGGTAGGGTTCGGCTGGATTTTCTTGTGCACATTGGTAATTTTTTTCGCAGGTGGTTCGCGCCGCCTCGCAGATTTCAAGCCTGGGTCAAGGCATGCGGTGAGAGCCCAAAGCTGGGCTGCTGGGCTGCAGTGAAGACTTTTTGCCGACGCGCCAGGTCCACCCAAAGCTTGGACGAAACGACCGTAGGCGCGCCACAGCACCGATGGCTTGACATGCTCTTGCGCTGTCACTTGCAGCTTGCACAGCGACATGGTGGCACAGTTTGGATGCTGCGGGGATATCCTTTACGGATGGCATTCACGTGGAACGTGCTCAATCTTTGCCATTCTCCGTCAGTTGAACTAGTAAGCAGGGCTGCGTGTTGCAAAAAAGGCTTGCCTGTTGGACAGCATAAGTCATAATTACGTGCAGTGAAGCGTGAGAATCCTGAGAGTCGTCTTCCGTAGTTTGGTGGTGGTGCCAAGACTTGGACGTTCTCAATGTGCCGGGGGTGGCACGAGTGAAGACCAGGCACAGGCGAAGACTGGACGTTCACCTCGCCAATACGCCGGGCAGCAGAGCGGCAGTTAGCATGTTGGTTAAATGAGCGTGGGGTAGGTAGCAGACGCGAGAGATCTGACATTGACCACAGAAGTTTAGCTGATGTTTACATCAGGCCCTCCATCGAGAGTTCCAGACCCTGGAGCCTGTGATTGCACAGGACCTGGCAGAAGAGGGCCGCAGCCTCTGCACTGTCACGATGAGGGCATTATCCTTGCTGGGAGGAGCCGCTCACGACCAGTGTGGCATCAAGTCAGTCTGGCCTTGACCCAAGGAAGCGTGTCTGGGACCGGAGTCGGACCTACCGACCCTGACCCCGTCAGGTTCTCCTCCCTCCGAGAAGAAGGCACTTCTTGTGGCCTGGACTGCGTTGTAAAATGTCAGCTTAACTCTGACCGAAAGTAACCAAACTTGATCATGTTCTGCCTGAGGCATATTCCCAATGCTTGGAAAGCCGCCTGCGAGCCATGACCGGCGAGAACCGAGGCATGTTGGACTGCCAGAGCTGGGCGCAAACCATGGAGAATGAGAATCGCTGTGTCCTCTGCAGTTGCTCTGAGTATTGTCTCCCGACCCGGCAGGCTTAAGGCTTCAGTTGCAGGAAGAGGAGGCTCTACCAGCTCTGTCGTGTATGCTGCTGCGAGCGAGATGCAAGCCGCTGCAAGCTTCAGCATAGAAATGAGGCACTTTGTCTTGTGATGACCTTCATCTTCAGAGTTTTTTTGTTTTTGCATCGAGCGGGAAATGGAAGCTGAGACCGGGAGATGCTCAAGGAGGCGTGCGGCGTGAGGCGATCCGAACCCTGGCAGATGCCGAAGCAGCAGGCATCAGCGACGTTCTTCCAGCTAACAGCTTATATGTATCATTGTGGAGAGCACAAGCACCACAGATGGTTGAACAGTTGAATATGTCGAAGACAAGAGTGAAGACAAGCCTGTGGCGCGTGAAGAGGTTTCTGGGAGTCGGGAGCGCTAAGGCCACACCCCGAAAGTTTCTTGATCCTGGCACATCTCTTGTGCCTTTAAGTGCCTTTCAGGTCTTGGATCCATTGGGTTTCAATGTTGCTCATTCCTGTGAGGCCCGCTTCGCTCAACTGCACTCGAGCGTCAAAAAGGATACAGACTTCGAGTTGGGGCCCTGCAACTTGTGCCTTCGAGTCTCCGCAGCACAGCCTGTGCCACCAGCAAGAGCTGTTGCACCGCTGCGCTTCAGCGCTGCATCAGGCTACGCCTGAGGGCGAAAACAAAGCAGCTCAACACGCGGATGAAGGCAATGGCCCTGCAACTGCTGCCGGCCTAGTCAATAGGATCATTGCACGGAATTCCAGAACGGAAGCTCGCGGTTGGCCGTTCTGATTGAAAGCCCGCACGGCACGGCACAGCAGGCCAGAGATCGGGTCTGGCACTGAGAAATGCGCTTGTCTACTCGAAGCTCGAAGATGACCTGCTGCTTTCCTGACGGCAACACACAGTGTCACACACTACTCCTATTTCCACCAGGGCAACGACATTCGAGAGCATTCGGCAGCACTCAACCTTCTCTTGCACTGTGAGAATAGTGTGAGAATCGAATTGGCTTTCCCCAAGGTCGGAGTCTTGTTTGATGCTTGGTCGCGCGTTACGTCGAGGGCAGCGTGCCCAGCTGCTGTTCAGTATTACCGGCTTCCCCTCAAGCAGGGCAGGAAGGAACGCACTTTTTCGCGGGCGTCCAGTTGGTGTTGAACTGTGCTCCTGAGTTCCCGAGTGCCTTCTAGCGACGCGGCCCAACCGAACCCCAACTGACCTGCGATTCATTAATGCTGAATCCTCGTGAAGTACTGGAAAGTTCAACCGTCTCAAGACTAAGTATAGGAACACCCAGTAGAGTCAAATCAGACGAGACAAAAGACAAAAACAACCACTTTGCTAGGCTTGGCGCGACAGGCCAGGCAAATGGCAGCGCAGCTGTGAGCCGTGAAAGGTTGCTGGCAATTTTTCCGCAGACTTCACACAATGAACGCTTGACAGGATCTACTGCACAACAGCACACGGAAAAACAAACCAACGTGCAGGTGCATCGATGCCGAGCATGAACTGGCTGCCCTGCGGTCTGGAGGACAGTGGCGCACCGTAGCAAGTTGCATGTAATGTAATGCCATACCAACCACAGCAGCAAAAGGTCGTCCGTGTCGGTGTTGGCAGGGCGTAGCCGCTTGTGCAGAGTACAGGCTTGGATCTACGAGATCGCCAGCGTGCCGAGGAGGCAAAGACGACGTGGGCACAATGATTGAAATCTCGTGTGCCATGTAGGCCACGGTAGGTTCCTCGAGCCATCGTGGCTACCGAGGCCGAGCGCGCGGTCCTGGAAATGAAGGCCTGGTGCCCGAGCCCGTTCTTGGCCATGGGGCATCGATCCTTCTTTGCTCTTTGCTTGAGGCAGAGCTTCGTCTAGGTGAAACAGTGTCGCCTGCAAAACGCTATATGAATGCCGCAGTCACCAAAGCCATAGCCTGTGTCTCAATCGAGAATGCTGAGGCAGCTCTCCGGCGCCAGCATCAGGTCTTCACGCAGGAGAGGTCTGAGGCCAGAACCTGAGAAGATGGTTGCAGATGAGCACACGTGGCATGGCCATGCTGAGCGGAGGCGCAGGGTGTCCAGCGCCAATCTGCAGCTTTGCAGGCCAGCTCCGAGCAGGCAGCCTTCCGTGTCGGGAGGGGTGCAATCTGCAGCAGTTGGCGTTGGTATGGTTTCCTGGCCGTGTTGATGTTGAGGATTTTGAACTAGCTGTGCGGTCATGGTGAGTTGCTTGCTGTTGTTGTGCTAGCATTGGACTTGGTTCTGACCGTGGCGGCCGTCGTACCGGCGCCTGCTGTTCGCCGATTCGCCCATTGCTTCTTGCACATCCTGTTGCAGCTGTCGTACTGGCATTATCGTAGCTGTTGAGCCAGTCTTTGTCCTGGGATCATTGCTACAGATACTCGTGCCTGGCCGTTCGACCGGTGGAGTGTCAGTATATAGGCACGACGTAGTAAAGTCAAGGTGCCAGTGCTCACCGGCTAAGCTCGAGTTGCGAAGGCATTGAGCAGGTAATTTGTAGTAATTGGTATGTGGCTAGTAGTCGTCGTCGTCGCCGTTGTAGTAGTATTTCCTTGCGGTCCCTAGTATGATTCATATGATAAATCCCCCGAACTTTATTTCAATTCTGAAGGCTCCTAGATTGATTTTTCAAGTCCTCCAACTTAAGGCCCACGATGTAGCGTTAAGGACTCTTGTTTAGGGTATGAGTCAGGGCTTGGGGTATGTTGCAATTGGGGTCCGGAAACGGGCAGTCAACAGCACGCAGCTTGGGGTCCTAATTAGGTTTACCCAGCGAGAGCAGCTACATGCAAGGTTCACCAATCGCTGGTGCTCGAAATCAGCCGGCACCCTGCCAACATTTAGCGGTTCGGATGTGTTGGCTCTGTTGTCTCTTGTGAGTCTTTGTCTCGAATCATCACAGCTTCTTTTGTGCGAATTTGCAGAACCAATTCAGAGTTCGGGTGCAGGAACCCCGGAGCCCAAACCGCAAGCATCAGCCCTTTGACCTAATCTCGTGAAGCCCCATCCCGAAATCCCTGTTGTTTTCTAGGAGTTTGAGAAACCAGGGGCCTGACATGACCCGACCCAGCCTCCATGCGATAAAGTAGGATCCGAAATACAAGGACCCCCAATGACGGCCCCCTACTTTTCTTTCATCCTCGCATACCCTCATAAAATCGTAAAATTTTGAGGAATTCGCACATTTGTAGAATGCCCTGGCGACATCCCATGTACCGTAGAGCCCCTGTCCCCACTCCACAAAGCTCTTGTATCCCTTTAGACCACCATGTTGACCAGCGTAGATCCCCAGACAGTGGAAGAGCACCCTAAACCCTAAACCCCAAACCACGACGACCATGACCAGTAGAACAACCCGGAGACCACCAGGAGATCATCAAGATCCCACAGGGAGACCACCGGACCAGATTTCCCAAGAGTACAAAATGAGTAGAGGTGTTTTCGGGGTTACCTATAGTCTCCATTGTCGTTCCTTTTTTGATGTCACCAACTTTAATAGTTAGGATCCTATAAGATAACCCCGAAAGGGAACTACAATGGAGACTATAGGATACCATAGGTAGGTTTTCGGACAGCGCTTTTGCTTCCCCGTGCAACTGGAGTGTACTCTTAACATAAAAACCCTTACTCGTACTATCTCGTACTTGTCCTCACTGCTTGGGAAATGAAGTCCAGAAAAGCCATTATATGATGCCGCAGAAACCCATTGCATAAAGACGAACGGTTCGGAGCCTTTGTTTGAACATAGAAACCTATCAGCCCCTGTATAATCCTGTCCCGGCCAAGGTCCATGGAAGCTCCTGGCTTGGGAAAATTTACGTACGAGGCAGAAAGGAAGAAATTTACACTGTCGATGCCCGTTGCAGGTTTTAAGTTGTTTGTTGTTGCTGCTGCTGTTGTTCTTACGGAGAGGGGCAGCGGGTGAGAGTTGGGACTACCGTGCTGAGGCTTATGTAGGTGCTTTTTTTTCTGGGGGGGAGGGCGTTCAGGAACAAGGTTTCTGGTTTTGGGCCTAGCCCGGCCAAATCCTCAAGCAATAGCTTGTTGGGAGAAGTTTGCCCACCAGGCAGACAGGCAGAAAGTGGGGCGAGTGATCATCCAGATGGTCGCTGAATCGCAGTTTCAGATTGCTTCAAAGTCTTGTTCCTTAGCCTTAGGGCTTAGAAGGTTTTAGGAACCCAAAACCCTACACCCCAAACCCTCCTAAACCCTTATCCGTGGTTTAGGGTTTAGGGGGTTTGGAGCTTCTGGCTTACAGAAGCTGAGGACCTCCAACCACGTGTAGGTAGTATTCCCTAGGGGATTTGGGTTTGGGGTTTAGGGTAGACTATTTTTTCGTAAGGCCTCTATATATCGCTGGAGGGCGTCCATTTCTGTAGCACTGCCCCAATTGTTGCGGATTCTCCGGGGCCGGCTTCGAATTGGGGAGTACTTCACGTCAGGGTTTAGGGTTTAGGGCTACTTGTTTTGGACCTGTTCCTTACTGGAACCATGACTCTCTGCTGAGCGGTTACTTCAAAACCCAGGCGTTTGTTCCCATGGTTCATGTCATGGAAGCGTTTGGAGCTGCGTTGAACCTGAGGGTAAACCCCAAAGCCTATAAACCCCAAGCGAGGCGCAGGGCTAGCCCGAGCCGTTGAAACCCAAGTCCTGAACTGGAAACCCTATTAGGCCCTAAACCTTAAACCCTGAAGCCAAAGCCCGAAGCCCTAATCCCTACATTTTCCGTTCAAACACCTGTTGTTCGATTGCTCAGAGCGGACAGGTCGGTTTTGGGTTGGAAACCTAATGTTCGGACTCTGAATAGGGGCTTCAATAGTTTAAGTGGGTGGTTGTCAAAATTATGGTCCCTTTATGGGTCCTTATTATAATACGGCACCTACTATTTAGGGTACCCCAGAAGGGGCCATAATTTTGACAACTACCCAAGTATGGTTACTGTAAGGCTTCCCTGTGCAGGGCTTCAGAACGGCCACTGCAAGGGCTTGGTGTAGAGGCCTTTATAATTGGCACAGGGTTCAGGGTAAGCTATATTGCAGTTGGACTAGGGACTGTTAAGGGGTACCGTTACTCACTATTCCGACCCCCATGTCTGACCTAGAGCCCCTTCACCATGAAATAGACCTGATACTCATATTTGGGATCACTCTAAATATGCTTCGAGTATTCCTCACGTGTATCGATGTCCATGTCTATATCTAGGTATCCATATCTATGTCTGTATCTATACCTACATCCGCAACTATCTCTATGTGTAAAACTCTATCTACATCTATATAAACCCTAAACCCTAAACCCTAAACCTCTGGGGAGAGTCTCCGAGGTTTGGAACAAGTTGCATCATTACCTCGCCCGTGGCGATCTGCACAAGTATCGCTTCCTCCTCAACCAGCAAGCCGCATGCCTCTTGCAGAACCTGCACCTAGGTCCTGGAGTACCATACTGGGTCTAGGGTTCTGGGTTTTGGGTTTGGGGGTTTAGGGTATAATGGGTTTCGGGTTTAGGGACCTGTTCCTTAAAGCAAGCGATATGAAATAAAAGTCTAGACTTGTTTCTCCCTGGTTACTTCGAAGCCCAGGGACATGGATCCGATCGATGGGCTAGTTCCAGGATTTCGCAGCGTAGCAGACCCGTTTACCGACCCGAAAGCAGTGCTGCTGGAATGGTTCATGCACCAGAACGGGTTCAAGAGCTATACCGCGTACGACAACGCCGGCTGGTCGCCACTATGTTTCGCAGCGATGAGTGGGAATGCAGCTTTGGTGCAGTCGCTTCTAGACCAGAAAGCCAGTCCGAACGATTCTACACAGAAGCCGAAGAAGGAGTTGGTATTTGGCAAGAACCTTTCCGTGCTGTCCATCGCAGCCGCCTACAAGAGCAATCAGGTCCGTCTGCAGATCCCAACCATAAATCCGACACCTCTATACGCCCTACCCATAGGCCCCTTAGTAGTTCCTGTTTGGGGTTCATATAGAATCCTATAAGGTAATCCCCAAAAGGAACCACTATGGGGCCTATGGGTAATTACACATAAAATACAAACTCTTAAGCCCTAACGGGAGGTCCTGCAGACGCTGCTTTCAGCTCGGGCCAACGTCAATGCCCGGGACAGCCACGAAGGAACTGCCTTGCATTGGGCCAACATCTGCAACAATCCTGAAGGAGTTCGAATTCTTTGCCAGGCTCTTGCGGACAGAAATATCTCAGCAGCCATGAAGTATTAGCTAACAAGCCCTAACTAAATTTATGGTATTGACAGCAGCAAGAACAGGAATAACACAGCGCAGCGATGATAATTGCTTACGGTTTCTTGGGAGTGCAGTGTTTTGTGCAGCTGTTGTACTCGGTGTTTGTGGGTTCAAGATCCTTAGATCTGGCATGTCTTTCTCTTATGCAATAATCCCTGAACATTCGGATCCTTGTTGTAAGCACAGACCTTAAACAAGGTACTATCGGGGCCTTGATAACTAGAACGGGTTCTGGGGTATATTATACTAACTAGAATAAAGGAGCCCTCGCAAAGCAAACAAAAAACACAATAATAAAGTTCATTATTAAGGCCCCTACATGACCTCTAAAGCTCTCAGCCCCAAAGAGTGCGTTTTTTCGGCGGCAGGCAGGCGCCGATCCCAGCCGACGCTGCTTCCCCGGGCTGACTCCCTTCGAAACGGCATGCGCATGTTCCGCCGTCGAGGCAAGTATGAAGTATGGGGATTCAGGGCTTAGGGTTCAGGGTTTAGGCTTGAAGGATTAGGGATTCGGTTTAGAGTTTTTCAGTTTAGAGTTTAGGGTTCTAGCCTCAGGGTGTCCCTGGCAGTAACTGCGTATCGCAACCCTTCGCAGTTCAGGTTTCGGGTTCAGCCTAGTCGTTCAGAGCCCCGATCATATCCAAGACTGGGCCAAGCCATACCCTAAAGTCGACCCGAAAATCACCAAACCCGCCACTGTGTATGATCACAGGCGATGAAGGAAATGATGCTGGGTTATTGTTAGATCAAATTTTGCATTGTTCTTGTTTCTCAGTCCTTGCATAGCAAAAATGCGATCAGTGGCACGTGTTGTTTAGCCATACCTCAGGCTTGTCCAGATCCCATCTA